TTGTGTATTATTTTTAAACAATCTGATTATTATTATTATTTAATTAGGTACTGACATAGGTAATATTTTTAAGAGTATCCTAAATGAAGTGGCATTAACTTTGGTGCAGTAAGTGTTGACTTGTTCATATTACAATAATGTATAATTAGTTTGATATATAAGTCATATCCTTAAATAGTATGGAATTTGTTAGCCAACTTTGTGAGTACCTAATAAAACTTTAAATATTGTTATCTTTCAAATTAAAACGAAGTATACATTTTGCGCTTGCAACCTTTGAAATTATTAAAGAGTCTTGTTCCTCATTTCAGACTTCAAAGTGTATTTTTTTGAAACATAGCAAATATCATTGTTTTATCAAATATCAAATAAGGTTTTAACCAAAAAATAAGATAGTTTTGTTATGCCAATCAAGTTAATGAATTTCTATTTATAATATAGAAATTCATTTGGAAATTAAATTAATTTGTTTATTTAATGATGGTACATTAATCGGGTTATAACAACTTTGTAATGTAATTTTTCATTTTAATTGCCATAATATTCTTATACGCTTACAATTTAATTCAAATACAATACTATAAGAACTCGTTTAAGTTATAGTATTCTATTTATATACTAGACACGTGTTTAGAATTTTTTTTAAACGGGTTTTTTGTCTCGCAAATGTCACAGAACATAATGCACAGGTCAGACAATACGGTGGGTATACTTACTTATGGGTTAACGAGAACAGACTTCTTGGGAATATGATTTGCGCTTACAACTTGTGTTAAATGAGGATTGGTTACGTATCACATTCTCTGTACATGAGCCGTTCAGGTCAAATTTCAAGAAAACTAACGAGTTGTGCGCGTGCATTCGTAGAAGCTGCCAATGTTTTTGGCGTCACGTCCGTCTGATTAGTGGACCCGACAGACGATGCGGTGACTGCGAAGGAAACCACTAGGAAGTCCTTGGTCGTGGGTGGGATTTAGTTGTGGCGAATTCGAGGGGTGTTGTTAGATAATTACGTTTTATTTGTTTTCCACCACGCGACTGTTTCTGTCTTCCGTCCATACGATAATGCAGACCGAGCACACATTTAACTTGCTTAAACACTACCTGTATCCGGACAGGACCTTTCTGGTCTGTCACCCGAGAGATGAAGCGACCCTGTGTCTACACAAATGTAGGGTGTATGTGTGTATACATATATTGGGTGGTTGTAATTTTGATATTTGCTGTGGGGGAGAAGTATGGGGAGGGGGGTGTCCTAGGTTTTGCGGTGGGCCAGGTCTCTCTAATTAGTCTGTTGCGGTCCTTGATTACACACTGCAACGATGACCACTACCATAGCTAACTTTCGTCCACGCATACAGTATAGTTGTTCGGTTGCACCATAAGCAGCCGTCACTATCGTCGTCTATGTCTTTTTGCAACGCTCATTGTGCACTAAAACTTGAACTTTTGTCACAATGGGTAGGCCTTGTCGGTTCTACCAACCCTATCGGTCAAGCTAGTTTGTGTTTCTGAACCAGTTAGTTAGTCCAGCTTTATTGTTTGACTCAAATATTATAGTGTGAATACTATCCCATTTATACTATACTAATTCAATTTTGTATTAAAAATAATTTGAATTTAAAATTTGTGAACTCAATAAAGATTCTTGATGAGGTTTTCTTAAAATTAAAACCAAAACGTGCTTATAAAATTAAAGTATACAATTAATACACTAGAGTTTAAGAACACTTTATATTCCTCGTGTGTTCATATGTTTTAAAAATTATTTTGTTTCATCATGTTAGAATAGGATCATTGCCAGTTTCAGACTTAACTTAGAAAAGTGGCAAAATAATTGCACTGAAATTATTTTCTTTTTTAATATTTTAAAAGAATATCTATTTTTCTTTTTTTATTGTACCTATACATTTAACAAAAACTCTTTTAAATATAGCTTGTCTGTCGTTAGCGCTGAAGATGACTACATTGTTGCCGAAATACGTCGTATACGTGGAGAGTATATCATTTTTATGGTTAAGGGTTTTTATTATTATTTGATTACATATTATAACCATAAGTTGCTTAATTTTTTTTTAGAAACTCTTTTGATGTAATATTTTATTTCCTTAAAACTGTTAACTCCCATTTCAAAAAATATGTTTACATTAAATTTGACTCCTGAGCGTCTCTTTTGCTTAGAAGTCTAACGCTAGAGGGCTGAATGCAATCATGTGAAATCCATTTCGACCAACTATGCCAACTTCTTCCAATGCTTCTTGACCCTTGAATTAACGCTCGTTAGAGTGAATGATGACGCAATATAATGATATCATACGGTCCATTAAACGTAGAGACACTGATGAGTTTTAAAGACTGTTTTTTCTTTTTAATAAACCGAAAACTTGTTCACTATAACATGTTGAACTTCGACTTTTGTAAATATCAATAGTAATACAGTAACTAGTTACATATAAAACATTTCATGGGGTCTTTGCACAACACAAAGTTGTATACGGAGATGTAAAAAAACTGTTCGATTTAGCGGTAGACAGCGGTAAACCTTATTGTAGACTACATTGACTGTATATAGACTGTATGTAAGAAGGGAATAAGAGGATATTAGCGGCCTAAGAAGACAATAAAACGAAAGACTAAACAGCATTATTACCTTAATAATATTGTACAACTTTTTTTTATCATGAGCGAGTATAAACTGGTATTTTCATCTACTCTCGCTGTTTCCGGTTTTCTAGGCCTTTTTTAAACCTACTATACGTATAAATAAAAGGACGCGGAGACAAAACAATCAAATTTATACGTAAAGGAGCTTTAACTAATTCCGGAAGTTGCTCAAGATTAAACTTGCCAGACTACAAACAACCATGCATAAAAATGTATGCGAGCTTTTACATTTGAAAACCTAATTTGAAAATGATATTACTCATCTTCCCGTTATTATCATTAAAAATTTAGATTAGCTAGATTTTCAAGCGCATAGTAAATAGCTTTCATTAAAGTTTATGAGTTAATAATAATTTAAGTTTATAAAAATTCTTGTAAATCATTTTAAAATTAATTATAATTTATTACATAATGTCGTTGACAATATTTACACACAGCTAATGGCCATAGTTGCCGAATATAATAAAACAAATATTTACTCGTGTAAGTTTTCAAAACTTTTAGTTATTAATTATTCAAAAGCATAATTCCAATCAGTTGTTTCGTTAATACAAGTTTAACAGAATTTAAAAGATGAGAAATACGAACTGCATGCTTTTAAAAGTATAATAACTATTATTAAAGTAAAGCTGATGGTAAATAATATGTGTTGAGATTACTATTAGTTGAAATCATCTGTTGTAGCTCTAATTTTTTTCTAAAATTTAATTATGATTTTTTTATGAATTTCAATCCTGGATACTCGTATTTTAGCACCACTAGAAATTGTTGTAAATGGAAAAAATGTGTATCGCAACATATTTATTCTGTTATTGATTACTACACATTAGTTTACCCTTTATATGTATATATTTTGAAATAACATTGAATAACATACTTGTGCATTTGAGTGGAAAAAATATATATAACAACAATGTACCCACCTTTAATAATAACATATCTCAGTTTGTCGAATCTGTCGTTACATTCGGTATGGAGCTGTGGAGCCCGAAGGTATTGGTTTTAAAACAATGTGTATTTTTTTAGAACAGTTTTTTGCGCGATTCCTTGATTTAATTTTTATACCGTTTAACATAATAATTCAAAAATATAATATGGTAACACACAGTATTTTAATAATTATTTCATTCTGTTCATAATTTGTATTAAAGTAGGAAAAAATATTTCTATTCGTAGATTCAACATTTTATTTTAAAATTTGTGAAAATCAAGAACACTAATAAATAGTACTGTAACAAAAAACCATTTTTTTTAGAATTTTTAAAAAAACTAACGACAACTGACGATCTTAGTCTCTTGTTGTATAAAGCTTTAAAATATCATGATATTTAATATTAAAGTATAAATGCGAGTGAAAATTGTAATAAATATGTATGATCTTGCTTTCAGTCTGACTAGTTAATATACATTATAACTTATAATAAGAGAGTAAACATCAAGTTTTTTTAACAAAAAAAAAATTGAATGAAATCGAATTTATTAAAAATAAAATCTGTTTATCTTTCCCTTGAAGGTAAGACATTGGATAATGATTAATGAACATGTCTTATGATCAGCAGATTTTCTTTCTCTTACCTATAATATATTATCAGTTGATCGTTTTATCATTAATCTTTTATCAGTTATCCAAGAATTATTGATTTTCCCTTATTCCAATATTACCCCTAACACCAAATGCAATTAAAAACGACACACAAATTATTAACAAATTCATTAGATAATATATTCATGCTAAAACCAGTTTTTTACTCTCAATCTTTCAAATAAAAATAATCTGTTGTTAGATGAATAAATTGTACCAAGTCTAAGACTTAAATGTGTTAAAGGTTTCCGGAAAATTGTTTCTACTAAAATTCGTTATTCTTTCTGTAATCGACAAAGCTTAGCATAGGTGCACTCCTTTTTCGTTTTCGCGCTAACTTTTTGTTTAACATGAAAAGTTTTGAACAAATACCTCGACAACAAATGACCCTTTACATCCGTAGCAACTCTTGGGGATTAACCAACACGCGAAACATCCAAATACTATTTCACTTGCTTTTTATTTTATTATGTCACCCATATTAACACAACCTCTTTTTCTTGTCTTTCTTACCCATACATATTTGATAGGTCGTATGCTCGTTTTCTCTCTTCTATGCCATGATAACTGGAAAACTTAACAGTGTAACAAAACATAAAAAAACATCTACACTCTACGTGGTGCACAAAACCTCGTGGGAGAGCTACCATCACTGCAAACGACTTAGTTTTTGTTTACTATTTTATTTCGTCAAAAGTAGTTGTAACGGAAATAATTGTTATTAATTCTGGCTGTGTTATTTTTATGTTTCTAGCCAAAGAAAATGCGAAATTTATGCATTTTTCATCACATTTGTGTGGTTAATGATGGTCAACACAGTTCATTCATGGCCGTGCCCATCGGATTGTATTTGTTTGTCGCATACGCAAGTAAGATAAGATAACATTCATCCTATATAATATGCACATGCATAAATTTAAATGTGTATAACATACTTTTTTTTGTATTTGGACAGCTCCCAACTACTGAACCGGACATTCCTGATATATTAGGTCTCGCAATATTGTATTTCAGCACGTCCAAGTTTGTTCGCTACTAGCTCTGACCTTTTAATCATTTACCAAACAATATACCTCGCGAATACACGCATACGGTTTTTGTATGACTCTATACAAAGTTTAGATTAAATTTACCCACATGTTCGTGGTACCATGCATATAATATATAAAATATATGGATGATAGGAATAAAGTATAACATTAAAATTTATTGAATAGGTTACATAGTTAAAATTACAAATGTAATTTTAAAATTAATTTATATTGACTATTAGATGGTAGAAAGCTGTCTTGTAATGAAATAAAATCATTTTTACAATAAAGAAAAATCATTTGGTGTGTTGAACATTCTTGGTACTCATATTATTAAAAAGTACAATACAAATTGATTCTAACACAGGGCTAAAATATGAAATTTATTATAATAAACATACGGTCAAAGTGTTTTTAAATGAAATTATTTTTGAATTAATTTTAGATCCTGTGCAATTCGGGACACTTGACATTTGTTCCGCTAAATGAACTACCAAAGACTGTTGAACATCTATCGTTGACCAAAAACAACTTGACATATTTACCTACTGATGCTTTTAGAGGGCTTAGATCACTTCGAAAACTTACTTTGGACGGTAACAGTATACAAAGTATTGATCAGTTTGCGTTCCGAGGACTTAGCAGGCTTAGGGAACTTACGATTCAGCATACGCCACTCCGAGCGCTTAAAAAATTGTCATTCTCCGGACTACAAAATGTTACGGCTATCCTGTTGGGCTACAACCAGATAAGCGTAATCGAAGAATTTGCATTTGCGACTTCTGCCAACATAAGGCTGATACTGTTGAATAATAATCCACTTCATATAGTAAGTCACAATTATAATATATTTGTAAGTAAAATATTTTTCTATGCGTTTAATAATTTTCACTTGATTTGATATACAAAATAAGAATTGATTCTTATATTTTAAAATAAATATATTAGAAGTGTATTTATATTAGATGTGGGCTTTAATTAAAATGTGTGTAAAGATGAAGTAATACATTTTTAAAGGAGAGAAAATCAATAAAACTATATGATTATTAATTGTAACTATCATAATGTGAATAATATTTCAACGCTCTCATATTAAGAATACCGTGAATTTGAATTTGTTGATGTTCAATTAAACGATAAATTGTAATATAGTTGTGTGTGAACTTAAGAAAATAAATTCTATAATTAAGTATATATACTTTTGGTATTGGCTTGACGTGGTTTTCAATGATATAAATGAATAATATCTTAATTATAGGTGTCGGCACACGCGTTTTCCCGGCTGACAAATGTCGAGCATCTAATCATGCCGTCGGGCATTCGTCATTTGCAGCCGGACGCGTTCTACGAGCTGGACTCCGTCGGTTTGCTAAAGTTGTCTTTCATGGACTTGTCGTCGCTTAAAGCTAACACATTCAGGGGCCTGACTCGAGTTCACGTTTTGGCCATTCAAGATTCAGACTTGGGAGTTATCAAAACGGACGCGTTTGCGGGGCTGTCGCAAGTGGGCAGTTTAAATCTGCTGAACAACAAAATCGACTCGGTCCAAAAACTGTCGGTGACACGTCAAAATCAGGTGAAACATTTCCGGTTCAATGGCAACCACGTGTTGGACAGTCCGAGAAAAAGCACGTTCAACGTAATCGCTTCCGAAGGGTTTACAATGGTCAGCAATCACTTCCCCTGCGACTGTCACTTGTTCCGGTTCTTGGACGGTTATCCTTTTGGTTTGAACGCGTCCACCGACTGGTTTATCGGCAAGAACTTTTGCATATCTCCACTTGAGCTGAACGGGCAACCTATCAGCGTAGTCAAGCAAAACTTTATCGAAAAATGCTTGCAGAGTTCGCCGGCCGCACCGCTAGGATCGACGCGTACGTTGTTTGTAGTAGCGGCTTTATATTATTTTCATTTATTGGTTCACTAAAAAAAAAAAAATTTAAAGGTTCCTGTTACTTAGGCGTAAGATCTCGGCTTTCATCTGTGTCATCTCTCGTTGGAAATTTCCATTAATTAAACACATTGTTTTTCACCAACTGCCAATCATTTTTATTTACCTAATGTATTTTTTTTTTATCTTTTTAGAATTTTAGTCGATTGTTATATTTGATTAAAATATTAACAATTACTCGTGTATTATGTAAATAATGTAATTTAGAAGAATAACTATTTGTAATCCCACAAAAAAGTAATAATACCTACTTATTATATTAAACAGTTTCGTGGAATTTGTGCGCACTTATTCAAAACTTACGTAGGAAACCATATGTTGCACTTACACTGGCGGGAAATTCAAGATGTGTCATAATCTATACTATAATATTTAATACTCATATATTATAATAAAATGTAAAAGTGATATTGCATCTATATTATAGCAAAGTTTATAACTAATATTGTGTTTTAATTGTTCCGCTACCGCTGTTCCAGGAATTAATATGCTGATGCGCTGTTGGTTAATATGTATGTATAATTTTTAGAAATGCCTGAGAAGTAAACACGTGTTTTGACGAAAGCAAAGGTAGAAAAGATAATATTTATATTAGTTTTTTCATAGTATAAAAGCAAATGTAACGGTTAGACTGTAACATTAGAAATTGAAATATACAAAAACAAATCTTAATAGAAACACTGTCCTGTCTATTCGGTCTGCGTAAAAGTTTGTTTTTATCTGCGTTGCGCATTCAACTCTAGGGCATGTCTAATACAGCAACATAGATCGCATAAATGCTTTGAAGTAAGTATACTAAAACAGTAAATACATTTTTTCTTTGATAAATAGGTCTTGAAAATGCCAGGCAAGTGGAGGGAGAGTTTTTTAGTAAACTAGTACCTATATTTAAATCAAGAGTGATATACAAGAATTTGGAAATTATAGAGGAATACAATTGATGAGTCATACTATGAAGATTTGGGAAAAAATATAGAAAAGAGTACTAAAAGTGAGACATTAATGTCTCAATCCCAGTTTGGTTTTATGCAGGAGAGAATAAGAATGAGAAGCAGTAAGAATGGTAATGAAAATAGGAATAGTAGGAAAAAGGGGAAGAGAAAGAGCGAAAAAGAGGTGGTTGGATGCGATCGAGAATGGTATGAGGACTGCTGGTGTATGCGAGGATGATGTGGGAGATCGTGTCAAGTAAAAGTTTAGAACAAGGGTGGCCAATCCCAAGTAGCTTCTTAAATTATTTAAAAGGTTCTTTTTTTTTTTAATTGTCAGTATAATCAAATACCGTTACCAAAACATGATTATTTATAGCACTAGTATAATATACAATTATATGTCTTGGTTGAAGTAGACAACGTACTAATTTATTGTAATGCAATTTTAGTTATATTGTTATAGGGACTCGAGTTTATTGGTTTCGTAAAGTACACTTATATATAACGTAAAATCAAAGGCTTGTAAACATTAATTTGTTTATTAGTGACAAACAACGCAAAGGCGGATTTCGATACCGCAGTGACCGTTAATTAAGAGACAGGTACCTATGCAAAATGTCGGTTGTTGGGTTTTCTGTTTAAATTAGAGTAGTGCACTATTTGAATTTTAATGCAATCGTTTAATACATTTCTACACAACATTCAATTAAGTAATGTCAGTGTAAACATTGACAACGTCGTCCATATATATAAAGTAAATTTTAACTTTGATGCGAAGTGCTGATAAGATAATTACGATTGCTAAACCACCTAATAATAGTCATATTAGTATCAAATTAAATTGCATTATTACGAGTATTAAATTGATATTCTAGAATTACTTACTGAGAGTAAATGCTAGTGATTAATAAAAAGTAAAATAATACTGGCTAGTGTTATCACTCTCATTTATACTATATACTGAGGGATGAAACACTCCAGATTAAATTATTATAGTACTTAAAAAATATAATTAAAAATTAAACAAAGATTTATTCTCCCACATTTTTTTGGTAAACGTAGTAAAGATTTTTGAAAAACTAAATCAAATAATTGAACGTCAATTAATTTCCAATAACATAAAAGTAATAAATGCACAATTGTTCCTTTTTTCAAATTTAAATTGGATGTTTCTACAACGTTCTGGTTTAATGGTCAATGATCACGTCGGTGAAATAAATATTCGATCATAGTTTTTTACCGATGGGTTCAGGGTTTGCGCTTTTTTGTGTATATATATATATATTTATATGGGTGTACTTTGTTTATTCTGTTCCGCATTGTTACTCGTACCTCCTCCTCTTTCATCGTAACCATGTCCATCGTTCGTTGGACCATATTGGTAAAATCGTTTTTGTGCGTCGACGAGGCTATTGAATGTGGCCGTGGGGAAAGCATCTCCGTGGGGAAGGCAGCTTCTCTCGTGCGGATTACAAATTTATCATTGGTGAATTCAATTAAAACTACTGTAATCGAATAAAATCCATGTAGTTTGTGGGAAGGAGCGTTAAATTATTACCCGAAGATTGCGGGGCGGACAGAGAATGCGCCTTATGATGAAATTCAAATCGCCTTGTTATTGCGATATAGCGTATTATAATAACAACAGGTTATTTTCGTTTCAATACCGCCGTGGGATCTTAATTTACGAGCACGGCGGCCAAGATGAATAACCGCCAAAAAAACTAATCTGTAACAATATCCCTCAAAATCGTTTTCAGCCCATAAATTATCAGATTTTATTCGTTTATCTGTATACTCTCCCCTCCCGTTCATATTTGCAATCAGTTTTTTTTAGATTGAATTTTCAAAGTGTAATACGTTGTAGTTTTGTACGGAATAGTGCAGTTTTTTTGTTTTTCGCTCTGGATATCTAGTACATATTATATACATGTTCGTTAGTATCCCGTAGTGGTAATTAGATTTTTTATCTGTTGTTTTTGTTTTTATTTCAGATTCGTTGTGTTCAAATGAAACTAAAGAATAACAATGGATCGAGTTTCCATTATATATTTATTCCCTAGAGGTGGTTTTTTTTTTAAAATGGATTCTCTCTTGCCGTTTGCAGCTATACACAAAAAAGACATCTGCAGTACAGTGACCGTTATCGGAAAGCGGTAAAAGCATAGAATTCTGGGATTAGAGATTAATTATTACTCCAAAAGACCGGTTTGACTGTTTGAGTGCATGGCCAGGCGGAGAAGAGACTCGGGTATCATTTTGCAAAGTAGTTATGCGCCGTTTGACAATGCATGCGTTTGGTGTGCAATACTATACTGCTGGCAACATTGATTTCTTTGAAGTTTCTCTCTTTTCAAGCCTTCATAAATCGCATGCACATATGCACAGGTACGGACTCCACGGCCAATAATGTATAAAAATCCACTATATTATCATAATGTTTCTCTCTGTTTCATTCTCTGCGCAAATACATATGAACATATGAACAGTGGAATAACGGGGGTATCATTTTTATTTACTTAGAAACGAAATAAATACATCTTTATCATTCGTCCAATAGCACGAGAATGCGATATGCGTTTGTTTGAATTTTCCGTATAATATACTATATATTATTATATGAGACCTACCGAAGTTTTTCTATGGTATGATTGAAGTTCCGCGTCTTGTATGCAATTGAATAAAAACTTAAGTTACCCTAATCGGATAGTGAGAAAGAAAGCACTCGCCATAATGAAATTATAACTACGACACTGATATGCACTTAAACTGTTAGGACATTAACAATCAATAATTAATTGTTAATAAACGTTAAATGTTTACTGAATTACATAACGCAAAAAGATGATCGGACAACTAGTTTGATATTAGATAGTAGATACAAAATTTGTCGGGAATGACTAACTGAGAATAACAGCTTAGGTATGTGTTTGTGTTGTTGGCATTGGTAGGTGGTTACCTATGAATATAATATACATCGACACATCAAGTCTTCCGGGAAAGAGTATTTCCGTTTCAGTCCATGCATAGTCGTTAATAGTTCATAGGATTAATCATTAAAACGTAATTCCTAGACTAGGTAGCTCCTAACTTTAAATAGTTTACAAATAACCTACTCGTCTAGACTGCCTTGTCACAACACCATGGTAAATATTTAAAACGAGCACTACGCTTTTTATCCATTAAAAACGTACAAATCGTGTGACGTTGACAAATAATAATAATTTATTAGTTTTAGAAAATCATTAGGAATGCCAACATATTGTTTATTCAAACGTTAAACTCTGTTGAGTACGATTTTCTCAAACGTTACAGTTTTATAAATCGTAGTAAATACTTATGAGATATTACGAGTTTTAATTAAATACATGAACGAGACAAAAATAATGAAAATATCAAATACAGAATAGTATGATTCGAGAAAAATGTAACTCAAATCGTATTATAAAGTGTGATAAGTCCTAGACGTGACACGATACAAACTTGTATGAACGTTAACACCTTAGTTTTCTGTGCCGTGACGTAAAATAAAATAAGAAGAGAGGAAAAAGTAGATATTATGTCATTTTCCCTTAATATAATGTAATTTAGGTCTAAGGTCTTGTGTAGCATCTCGCTAAATATTGCCATAGTGGTTTTAACATTCCATAATACTCATAGATGGTATGAAACAAAAGTTATGTTTTTGTACATAGTTTGGAACGTGTCTATGTAAATAAGCGTGTATTTAAATAAGCGTATACGAGTAGTTAAATTATAACCAGGTGTGATGTTACACACTTCATAATAAAATAAGTGATAGGGTAAGAAGTTTTCTTATTATTGTAAAAAATATATTATAATATTAAATATGTACGAGTATTTTCAACGGCCTACTTTATTTTAAATTTGACAATAGACAAAAACATTAACAAGACCTACGTTGAATCATTATTACTTTTTTTAATTTATCCACAAATGAGTTGTAGCGCAAATTGTTCTTATCCAGATGTTTACCAGAAACTGCGGTACGATAAAACGAGCTTTTTGTAATAATTAAGACAGTATCCCCAACAGTTTTATTTCTCGTAAAATATAACAATAATTATTTTTTTAACCAAACTGTGTTTTATAATTGCTTTTTAGATGTAAAAGGAAGACAATTAATTTTAATTTTAAATTAACAAAAAAAAAAAAAAATAGGGTGTTAGAACTGCGAATAGTAATGCGTTGAGACTTGAGTATTCAAACAAGTTTCATTAAAATAAAAGTGTTTAAAAATTAAATAAGTTTTTATTTTGAAGACTTGAAAAGTGTGAAGACAGGCATTAATAGAATTGATACAAATTTCTTAATTAATTCCATTAAGAAAAAAACATTATTAATTTGTGATGTTTTACTCATACGTATGTTTATATCTATTAATACTAATAAATATTTTAAAATTATATATTCTATAAGTAGG